TGGGATCGCTCCCATCTCCGGGCGGTCACATCTCCCCGCAGCAGCAACTCCGGGACAGGGAGGACAATTCGGGAGCAGCCCGAGCGCCTCTTGCTCCTGCCGGGCTCGGGGCCACCCGTGTGCCAGGGCCTCGCATTCCAAGGAGGGAGGGGAAGGGACTCTAGGAAGGAAAAATCATCGTGTTGGCACAATTATTGCAGCCCGGGCAGGACTTCAGGAGTTCTGTGTCTTTCTTCTCCATAAGCACAGGCTGGCAGAGGCTGAGGGGCAGCGAGTTTAGGCAATCATTCTGGGTACATTGTACTTCTTATCCTGAAAAATAATTTATTGCTTTGCTGTTGAAGGCAGTGCTAAGGAAACTTGGCAGTTAATAATTGTTATCAGGTAAATTCTTGTGGTATTGTGTTAGAAGAGGGCAGGGTCCAGTGTACTCTAAAAATTTGGGAAACATGGAAGACACCAAATCTCCTCAGCCCAAGAGAGACATGGAGCTCTTGGAGCAGGTCCAGTGGAGGCTACGAGGAAGATTAAGGGACGGGAGCATCTCTTACACATAATCCACTATCAACCACTCTTCTTCCCCAGGAATTCCTGCCATTTTGTCAGAAATGGGGTCCACTCGTGTGACCCACCTGTCACCGGACCTGCTGCCCTGGTTTCTGTGGGGTTTGAGGGAAGAACAGTAAAGTTCAGTGTGTGGCATGTCTAAAAACATACACTATGTTAGTGCAATGTTACATGTCATTGCACCTTGGATGAAGGAGATTTCTTTCTCACTGGAATATTTTCTAGGCATCCTTGGAGTACCAGGGTTCATTTTGGTTCAGGAAAGCTGTGTAAAGCCCAGGTATCCTTTAATCCATGTTCTGCTCCCTCCCAGTGCAGCTGGGACATGGGCTCTGCCCTTGTCTCAGTCCTGTTTCTGTTTTGGGGTTTCCCCCTGTGCAATGACAGAGGTTCAACAGGTGAACAGTGCTGTGCTTGGGACATTTTGGAAGGTCCAGGGTCTGTGCTCAGACAGGAGCTCAGGATAAACTGCTGACCTGGAGTGGTTCAGATCTTGTCCTTAGGGGTCAGGTCTCAGCTGTAGGGGAGAATAATCTCCAAAATGATTCCGTGAAGAAGTGATAATTCAGCTCTAACCATCAGGCCAATCTCAGCCCAGGGAGCAGAGAGTTAAACGTGTCCCTTCCATCAGTTTAACCTTCCCCTCACTGTAACAAATACACTGAGCTTAGAGGAGGAGGGAGAACAATGGGAAGATTTTGTATGATTTGAAGGAGAGAGGCTGTTACCCAAAATATTTCCCTGTTGTCCCAGCCCTGTGAAATGCTGACACCCAGAGAGTCAAATAAAGGCAGAAAAACGAGCTCTCAGCAGCAGTCATCCCAACCCAAGTGACAGCCTCCCCTGCTAGCTGGAGTCATTGCAGTTATTGGGGAAAATGTAAAGGGCAAGTCTTTGCATATTTAACATGTCTCTCAATTTTTGTTTCTGATTCCCAGATCTATTATAAAGTTATTAAAGAAATTGAGCCAGGAGAAGAGCTCTTGGTGTGTTTGAAGGAAGGTGGTTATTCCCTTGGGAACATGGCGCCCAGCATGGAAGGTAAGGCCTCCAGAGGACCTTCTGCACCTCTCTGCAGCACACTCAGGAATGCTGAGAACCTCAGTGAGAGCTGAGCTGGGACAAAACCTGATCCAGTACCTCCCCCTTCTGTCGCTGTTGGGATGTTATGCTCATTTTCGCTCTTTCCCTGGTGGGAGTGACTGTCTAAGTCCACGATACTGAGTCTTTACTAAACTCAAGACGTGCAGCAGACAATTTTCCCCTTCCCTATGAGGAACACTGTGGTTTTGAATATGATTGGAGGTGCCTTTTCCATCCCCAGGGTCACCCTGTTTCTTTAGGTGTAATGAAAATGGGTCCAACCTCTCCAAGGCCTGGAAAACAGCAGAGCTTTAGAGTACCTGGAAAAAGGGGATCCAGGCAGAGGGTGGAAGAGTCATCCCTAGAATTATTATTGCTGGGGTATCGACACCTCACCTGCTCTTGCACAGTCCACTAATTTCTAAATATATTCTCATTTACCAGCTGTGTTTAAACTATTAGTTGGAAATACTGTTCTATACAAATAATCACTGAAATCTGAGTTCTCTCAGTCACAGTGCATTTATGTTCTCTTACCTGCATATGAATATAATTTCAGATTCAAATTTGCAGTGAAATCCTTCAAGAGTGTGCATAGGATGTGCACAGTTAGTTTCAAACATTTCTGGAGAACAGGATAGTTTGAGGATTTGTGCTGCTGGAAGCTCGTTTGCTGAAGGGCTGGGGGTGAAATGTGGGAGCTGCTGCCTCACTCATGTCAAATTCGGGATTATTATTTTTTACTGTTCTTCCCCCCCCCCCCCCCGAAAAGTTAATAATTTTCTCGAGGCCGACACACAGAGATGAATAATTTCTGTACCCTTTTTTCGATGTCAGGGAGAAATCAGAATGAAAACTCACCGCTGTTCTGCATTTCAGTTTCTAAAAGGCTTTTATGTGAACAAGCAAAAAGTGCTCCTTGTTTTCCATCTCTGTCATTATTGGAACATTTATCTGTGTCTTCCTGGTAACGTCTAGTGCTTTTGCCGCATAATTGCTGTCAAATTACGCCAGGCCAACATTAAATATTTGACTCCTTAATACTTTTTACTTTCAGCAGGGCTATCTTCCTGCTGCCTCGCAGCCCCAGTTCGCTTCGGAATTAACAGGAAGGAAAATGCAAAATTGTTCCACACAAAGATAATTATCATAAAAATCTTTTCTCCCAACCCCAGCCAAACACAGCAGACCCCTTATCACTGCAGGAATTTTGAGTAGGGCACTTGAACTCCTTTGAGATTCGAGTCTGGTAGATTAGCATGTAGATGCCACATAATTGTGTTCCCCTTGGTTTCTCTGAAAGCTATTAGGCACTGATTTATTTTTCTGTTACATTCCTGCTTTGTCCTGAGTGTTACTGATGGAACTTCAGATAGGCACATATAACCACAGATTTGACAAACAAGACACAGAGAACAGGCAGCAATTTCTGTGTAACTGGGTTGTTCTTTTCTTTTCAGCCCCTTCTCCCTGTCAGACACCAGAGCAGTTACCTTTCTGAAGGGCAGCATTTGCTGTTTTCATTTGTGACGCCTAAAGAAAGGGGAAAACTTTAATGAGAACTTGTTTTGAAGGGCAGCCTTTTTATTTTTGGTACTTAAAGAAGGAAAAAAGAAACCCTTTAATGAACCTGAAGTCTGCAAACCGGGTGTCTCATACAGACACAAAATCGATACCAGGTCTGAGCTCAGCCCTGATTTAGGTTTCAGTTCTGCAGGGGGATGATCTGGCCCTGAGTCTGAGCTCAGTTCCTTTCCCTGCAGGGTATTTGTTGAGAAGTCTGGTCTCTAACCTGCTGAAGTTCAGGAGTGGGAATGCCACGGGAATGGGTATTGGATATGGGTATACTAGCATAGAATTATGGAATGATTTGGGATGGAGGGGACCTTAAAGACCATCCAGTGCCACCCCCTGCCATGGGCAGGGATACCTCCCACTAGCCCAGGATGCTTCAAGCCCCCTCAAACCTGGGCACTCCCAGGGTTGGGGCAGCCACAGCTTCTCTGGGCAGCCTGTGCCAGGGCCTGCCCACCCTCAGCTGCTCCACCAGCCCATCAGTTCTTCCTCTCCTGAACCTGTCTGAGCATCCGAATAGAATTTACACCCAGTGGCAACATGAGTAACATGGCTTTTAGTCCTATATTTGCCAGTTCTCTAATTCTTCTTTCAGTGCAAATTTCTTTTTCCAAACCCAGATATTCTGAAGCGCAGGCACTGCTTTTCCTATCCTCCATCTTTCCTACCTGAGTTTGATCCTCTTGTGCTGTGTGTGATTCAGGTGATCTGGCAAAGGAAAAGGAGAATTAGAAGCAAAATCTCTTCTCTGAATTATTATTGGGGCTATTAAAGTATTTCATCTACTTCCCTGCTCCGTGACCTCACAGAAAGGACAAACTTGTGTTGCTGTTGCTCAGGGCAGGCAGGGCTGGGTCAGGTGTGTGCTGGGAGGGGGTGCTGCCAAGTCATCCAGCTTTAGCCAGGGATGGAGGAAATTATTCCCCATGGATGGTTTTCCAAACTCAGAGAGGATTTCTGCTTCCTAGAGGAGAGCTTGGGTGAAATAAGATGCAATTAATCGTGTAAATCTCAAACTGAAGGAGGAAGAATTTCGTCTGGATTTGCAGAAGGAATTTCGATGCGTTTTCTCTGAGGTCAAAAGAAGAAAAAAATTCTGTTTTCTCCGTTCCAAGTGTTTTCAGGTCTGGGGAATTGCCAGGGTGGGGTAGAGGGGTTCTGGGAGTTTGGTAGGAGTTTTTTGAGGTGAAGGTACCTGGGGGTTCCCAGCCTGCAGGATTCCAGTCGCTCCTACAGAAAAATCCTCCTGGGTTGAGCCACCGCTGTGTTTACAGAGTGAGGAGGGGAAACGTTGGCTCTGAGGCAGATGAACACCTTGCCAGAGCATTTCCACGGATCTGGAGTTAGTGAGGGATTTATCCTGTTCCTCTCAGTGCAGTGAGTGACGCAGCTCCTGTCCCAGGGACGTCTCCAGGCAGAGCAGTGGGGTCGTGTTTGTTGGTGCCAGTGCCTGCTCTGAGCCCAGAGCTGCACCCTGGGGCAGAGAAGCCCTTGTTCCAGGGCTGACATGGGTTCACTGGTGCTGAGGAGGGCTGGCAGGGTGAGCTCACTGCCTCAGCCCACGGTGTGTGCCTGCAGGACCCCTGGGGCTGTGGGGTTTGTCTCTCCTGACCCGAGTTACAGACACCAAAGGTACCTGAACACACCTCATCCCAGCCCTCACCCCCTCCTTGCTGCCTTCACACCAAGCATGCTTTTGGTCTGTAAACATGTGCAGATGAAATACTGAGTTTTGCTCAGTAATGTTGTGTTTCATGCTGTTGTTACAAGTAAAATGCAATAGCAAGACATAACATGATACTGGACTTTTTTTTTCCTTCTTTTTCACTTTTCCCTCATAGTAAGTAGTTTGGATTAATTTAATGGTAGTTTATCCTCAGTCTCTCAGTACTGCTGGTTTTTATGTCCCGATTTTTCCACGTTTCCCTCCCCGGGGACATAAAACACATGAGTTACATGTTGATACTTTTCTGCAAAATGCCAGTAAAGGGAAATTCTCTAAGGAGCAGAGCAGGGCCTTACTCACTTCATGGTGAGGCTGCTGATAGCAATTTCAGAGAATATAATCTGTCAAAATCAGCAGAAATGGGAAAGATTGGGTATTTTTTCCCCTTAGGTCTCCTTCTTTCAGTCAAAATCCCCCTTCCTCCCCAAAGGAATATGTTGACCCGCTGGATTTCGTTTCTTTTTCACATCCCTCTTTCCTGCAGTTCAGGAAATGCTGGTGCATCCCTGTGGCTGCTGTAGGATTATTGGTGCCCTGAGTGAATGGGTCTGGCACCCCTGGCCAGGCTGCTGGGATTCCAGGGGGCTGCACTGGCCCTGCCTCGGTGATACTTTCTTTTTCAGCCGTGTTTGACTTTTCCCATGTCGATACTTTCTGTGTAGGTGTGCAAAGTGTTGGGTTTCCTCTGCCCACATCGCTGCTGTAGCAGCTTCTGGGACCTTGTCTTGCTCAGTTTTAAGCTCAGGTTTAAATGGGCAGTGTGGGGAGGAAGGGAGATGGGAGCTGAGTGCCCGAGTGCAGGGGGGACGTGGTGACCCCGTGGTGACACTGCCCGTGCTTCTACTCCTGGCACACTTACAGCAAAATTAACCCTGATTTATATAAAACACCATTCCAGGCCCTAAAGCTCAGCCTAAGTGGTTGCAAATGTGCAAAATTTGGGGTGAACAACTGCAAGGGGGACTTCAAAGCAAGGGTTTGCTCAGAGGTTGCAGATTTTGAATATGGGTCCTGGCTGCAGAGCAGCCCCAAAACCAGAGTGTGGCCACTTCCCACCCAGAGAGCAGGGGATGGCTCAGCTCCATCCCAGCATCAGCCTTTGGCTGCATCTCTCCGAATATTCCAACTCTTCCCTTTGAGCTTATGCACTTACCACAAGCTTTCCTTTTGAAAGTAAAGTGATCAGAAGAAGGGAACGAGGCTTAATAGGAAGCAGAGGACGAGGGGAGAGCAGGACAGGGAAACGCAGCACCAGTGACTCAGTGGGGGCTGGAAAGCTTCTGTTTCAGGGTGGAGAGACCCAGAGCTGTCCTGACTCCCTCACAGAGGTTGTTCTCCTGGAAAATTTACAGCTCAGAGCTGATTGTTTGGCTTGGCACTATGGTCAGGATGCTGCCTTGTAAACTTAATAATAGCTGCCCTCTTTTTAATTTGTTTGACCTTGACTACAGTAATTTATTATGTGCATTAGAACTTTTTTTTTTTTTAAAGAAGAAAAAGCAAAGAGCACAGCAACAAAGCCTTTGGCTCCCTGTTCTTCCTTCTACGGTGCTCTGGGTTTGGACTCCTCAGGCTGATGACGCCCTGAGCTCTCGCAGTTGTGAGGGATGAGTTGAGGGGAGAACATTAGACAGACAATTTCTTAGAAAGGAGCTTCTCCAGGTTTGTGCTGTGGCAGTTTGCTTTTCCCAGTATCTGTGTTTATGTGAGTCTGGGTTGTTCCTTTTTCCCTGGCAGCCCCTTTTGAGGAAAAAACTCATTCATATTTTCGAAGGCCCTCCTTGCAGGCAGCTCAACACTCCAGAACAACCCAGTATTTTGTGTGTCTACCAGTTCTTGTAGGTCTCTCTGTCTCTGCAGAGGCCAGGACACAAAGAAAACAAGATCTCCTCTGGTTGTGTGATCTACATTTTTTTTCTTAATGCTTAAAGTGAAAGCAGCTGCTGGCACAGCCTCCCTTGGGTTCTCTCTCCCCTCACTTGCAGATTTGCTCTTTGTTTGTTTGTTTGCCGGATGCTCACAGAATTTTGCCTTCTCTTTAGTGCTGGGTAAAATAATCCAGCCTGGTGGAATTGGTGCCCCAGGAGTGCCAACCCCCTGTGTGTTGTTGCAGAGGAGCCCTCGTTCCGCTGTGAGGACTGTGATGAGCTCTTCCAGTCCAAGCTCGACCTGCGGCGGCACAAGAAGTTCGGCTGCAGCGCCGTCAGCTCCCTCTACGAGACCCTCAATGACGAGATCAAGCAGGAAGGTCTTGGAGATGGACAGGTCTATGAGTGCAAAGACTGTGAGAGGATGTTCCCCAACAAATACAGGTACCCAAAAAGTGCCAGACCCTCCTCTGACCTCCCCTCTCCCTTCTCCTTCCCTGGCCTGTCCGAGGATGGACACACGGGACGGAGGGGGGAGCTGGGCAGCCTTTCTCCTTTCTCCACGGGGCTAGGGAATGTTCATTTTGGGATCCTGCAGTGTCCATTAGCTGTTGGGCAGCGTTTTATTTCACCCTGATTTCACAGACTGATGCTTTTCCTTGCTTGTTGGGAGAGGCACCCACAGACTGTTGATGGGAAATTTAAATGGTTGTTTTCTGGGTTCCCTGTGGCTCCTTCAGGGCTGTGACAGAGCTTGAGAGACCTGGTTTGGGGCTCTTTGCACCATCTGCTCCCATGTGCTCTGGTTCTTAGGGGAAAGAGCAGAATTAGTTCTGCCAGTGTGTGCATGAAGGCCTTTTATAGGGACCTCTTGGTCACTGGAGATCAGTGGGTTTAAAGAGGCATCGTTACCCTGAGATCTCTTAACACAATCATGAGCTCCTGTTTGATCTTGCAGAAGCAATTAAAAGATTCTATTCCAATCAAATGTTTGGTTTCATTGTGTTCACCAAGCATTTTTGTAATAGAAATGTAAAAAGGAAAAAAAAGGAATATCAGATGTTCTCCAGTTTATGGTTTACTTGCCGTAATTGTTCAGTTATTATTACAATGAGGCAACCCTAAACAAGGATTAAATTTTTTTTAAAATAGGAAAAACTTTTTGGGCCCCTGAGTTTTAACTGAAAATTTGCATCTTGCATAATGTGGTAGTAATCAAATGCAGGTTTTAAGAGATCTTTGAGATTTTTGATTCATTGGCAAAGTGAGACGCAAATGGTAAAACATTAGGGGCCAGCTTTAAAAAGTCGAGGGGCTTTTTTAATCATTTTAAGATTGTGTTTATTTGCATCCTAAGCCTTTATAAAAGCCTTTATAAAATTCTATAAAACCAGAGTTTTCTCTGTTTACCGGAGGCTGAAGTTCTCACATTCTCATTTCTTTTGACTCCTGAGATGAACGAACCCCGCGCACCACGAGGTTTGTCATAAACTGTGAGAACTGGCAATCCCCTGCCAGGCACTGCGTGAGCAGAGCAAAAACCTCGGGGTTACAGCCAGTGTAAGGCCTGTTTCACTTCAGCTGAACATTTGAAAACATGCATTTGTCACTTTGAACTTAATTATGTTGAGACTTTCAGATCTTTGATCTGGGCGAGTGAGGAAAAAAAATGTATTTTAAAAAACTCAGAGAGCAATGAAGTGTAAAGAGCATTCCCTGATGCATCTGCATCAAAAAGGGCTTAGCTGGGCTGTGGGAGGTGTAAAAGTTGGGGATAGATACTGTGGTACCTGTCTGGGGTCCTGTTAGCCCAGTGGGGTGTCTTTGTCCCTCACCTTGTGTTTCTACATTGGCCACTTTCCATTAGATAATGAGAGTGCAATTTCCTTATTTTTTTTTTTACCTGAAAAGACAAGGAGAACTTCTTTTAAGCGTTTTCAGTGTGTTTAATTTCACTGAAAGTTCCAATTCTTTGATCCACTGGTGTCAGAAGTTCTCTCCTCTGTAGCTTCCAGCCCTCTCTAATTTTCACCTTATCTTAGAAAATGCCCTTTTGAAATGTCTGTGTTGTGTCCTCTTTGTAACCCCTGAGTATTCCTGGCTCCCTGGGTGGCTGGGCTGGCACCACGGGCTCAGTGGGTTTGCTGCCTGTCTGACCATTGATTCCAAATATTTGGGAATGTGTAATATGCAGTTCATATTTTTTTGATGGGGAAGAGAGAGTTGGCAGCATCCCCATTCAGTGTGTGACACGCTGCTGGATTAGTGGGGCTGGGAGGGAATGTCCACATCTGTCTCTCCTCCATCAATCTGCCACATTTAAGGCCACTAAAACACACAATATACCCACTCAGTGTGCCTAGATGGTCTTAGAATTTTTCAGAAGTTAATACAGATCAAATCAAGAGTGCCACTGGGGACCTGAAATTGAGCATTTAGCAGCTGACTAAATAAATAAATGTTTTGCTAATCCCAGTAGGTACTTTCCTCTAAACAGTACATTAGTTTGTCTATATTTGCTGTAAATAAACTCATAAATCACAGTTAAAAGGAGTGTATTTTTGGATGTGTATATGCAAGGTTTATGTTACTTTGGATGTGTAGAAAATCTGGTAGTTTTAAGAACACCATTTCTTCAGCAAAATGAATATTGCTTCTTTAAAATGAGTGGATTGGCAGTTTATAAGAGGCATGTCCATGAATATTAACCACCTGGCTGGGAGCAGGGGAGGTTCTCCAGGGGAGCAGGAGGCTGGTGGCTGCAGAGGTTTGGGTGGAGAGTGGCTAGGCTGGTTGCAGTCCCCAGACCCACTCGTGATGAACCACCTTGCACAGCGTTGCCACCATCTCAGGGCACAGAGAGCTCAGTGCAGGGCAGTTGTGGATGGAGTTACCCTTTCCTCTGGGAATTTCCAAGGACAACAGATCCATTCTGCCCCACCTGAGTGCAGCCAGGGGCTGGGTGGAGAATGGTCACAGCCTCTGAGGAGAGTGGGAGCAGTGCAGTCCTGAGCATGTGCCAAGGCTGAGATGATTCCTGAGTGCCCAGGGGGTATCTTCCTTGTGGCATTTAATGCAGACTGGCAGGATTTCCCAGTAGTGTTTAGCTTTAATGCTCCTGTAAAAATGCAGCCATGCTTTCAAGTTCCATAGGAATGATTTAATATCCATCTGTAGGGATTTCAGGCAGGAGGAGATTTCATGTGAGCTGGTCCTTCATCAGAATTCACAGTAAGGGGAGTGTTTGTAACTCCTGTTAAACTACCCCGAAAGAAGCAAAGGGTGCAGATTTTCTTCCCTTATTTCTCAGGGCTGGCCTGAATGGTGCAGAATTCCTGGCCTGAGGAGTGAAGGATTTCTGGCCAGAGAGGTGCAGAGTTTTTGGCCCGAGAGGTGCAGGATTCCTGGCTGGAGATGCAGGACTTTTGGCCTGAGAGGTGCAGGATTTTTGGCCAGGGAGCTGCGGGACTCCTGGCCAGGGAGGTGCAGGTTTCCCATGGCACAGGGAGAACGGAGCTCCGTGTGCCATCCCTGCCATGGCCCTGTGCCAGCTGCCACTTGGCATTGCCATCATCCCCCTGGTTCTGGAGGCGCTGCCAGTTGGTAGAAGGCAAAATTGCTGAGTTGAGTCATCAAAGATGTCTGACATTTAGAAGTGAAATGTGTTTGCACCTTATCATGTTTCTTCTGTGTTCTGGGAAGCCTTGGGCCTGGTGCCTGTGAAAAGGCAATGTGAGAGTCCCAGCAGCAGAAGGGAATATCTTGTCTTTCCCTGGGGGATGCCAGAGGAGTCTGGGTCACAAAGTGCCCATTTTTCCCCTCAGCAACCTGCAGGGTCAGAGCTGGGTTTGCCTTCCTTTCCCCCCTGCAAATGGACTCAAGTATTAATCAGAAATAGCATAAGATACAGTGACATTTTGAGGTAGAACAGGGCAGCTTCCATCAGTGAAATAAATGCTAAGAGGTTCATGGTGTTTGGTGCCACTGCCCCTCTCACAGTCCATGAGCTGCCCCCCTCCTACTCTGAGGCACCAGGTAACTCTGACCCTCCCTGTCACCTCTCTGGTCTCAGACCTGCCGGGTGACAGCCCCTGCCTTGGTAGTGGGTGCCCAGGGCTGGGCTCTGGCCACTGCCCCAGGTGAGCCCTTCTCTCTCCCCCAGCCTGGAGCAGCACATGGTGATCCACACGGAGGAGAGGGAGTACAAGTGTGACCAGTGTCCCAAGGCTTTCAACTGGAAATCCAACCTGATTCGTCACCAAATGTCTCACGACAGTGGGAAACGGTTTGAATGTGAAAACTGTGTTAAGGTACA